ATAGCAAAAGAATACTTTACTTTTGCAATAAGAAAGATACAAAAATGGAAATTCCAAGTGCTCCGCATTTTATGGCCTCTTTTCGACGCATAAGCTCTTGAAGGAAAATGAGAATCAACAACGCCTTATTGGATGCATTTCGCGTGGCGCTCTGGCTTTAGCAGAAATTTAAAAAAAGGTTGCCATTGGCTGAGGTGAAAATGCCATTGTTGGACACATTTATAAGAAGTTCCAAAAGCCATGTTTATCATCTAGTATGGAGCCGAAACGTTATGGGTTTCAGAGAAGAAGCTAAACCAATGTGCTTCATGATTAAGCGGTATAGACTTAACATTAACACTTACTGTGATGATTAGAACTGGCAAAAAAGGCGCATTGATATTCAGATGGAAGCAGTAAATGCAAGATCCTTTGGATACTACCACCTTCACTCATTCTTCTTACCCTCCGCACTGTATCGTTCATCGTCGTTTCCATCATCAACGATGTCATTGGTCGTAGTTACCACAGAAGATGGGCCGGTGGTGATGTTGCGCTGGCTGGATGGCATAGCAGTGACGCTAGAGGCTTCATAGGAAGGACGCTGATATTGAGGTGTGAGTTGAGGCATGGAAAGGCTGCGTAGTACTCGAAGATCGACGGCTTGGCCAGTGACAGCGTCGGCAGCGGCAAAGCAGGCCTCGGGGAGGGTGGCACGGAGGCGCTGGAACCGTAAATGGGCGCTCGCCTCGACCCTTTCGCGCCGACGGTCATGACGAAGCAGTGTGAGGCGTCGTTCCATGTAGCGCAGAGCCCAGACAGCACCTGACTCGGACCATTCCGGCGAGAAGAGGCATCGCATCACTGCCAAGTCGCAATGACTAGCCAACACAGTATCTGTCGCCATCGCTTCTTTCAGCACTGTCTGGGTCAGTGACTCTATTTGCTCCTCTAGTGTCTGCTCCTGGAAGGGGAGCAACAGCCAAAGAACTGTCACATTGTGTGAAACATCATCACTCTCGTCTCTTATGGCTTCTACAAAGCTAAGAATACATTGATTTTTATGAGCTTAAAGTACGATACCGTACTCACCAAATAGCTTCGACCGGCCGTAAAGCTCTCAGAACAGTTTGACTCCGACTCCTCGGAGTCAGTATCCTTCAGGCTAACGGGACAGATATCGTTGAGACGAGCCATTGGAACCACTGGACGATTATGACTGTGCTTCATCGCACTCGCATTGATTGGCACAGAATGCCGGTCGTACCACGCTGAATCCTTAAACAGACAAATCCATACTTTGTCAGTGGTAATCATACCTATATTCAAGTGAACACTTAATTAACTCACTAGCATGTTCTGTGTAAATGCTAAATACGCTGCAGCATCAGCTTTTGTTAATGTCTTTCAGTAGGCGGAGAGTTTGTGAGCGCCATTTTCAAAGCAGTTTCATAAAACTGCTTTTAGTTCTCAACAATCATAATGAGGTCAAAAGTGGATCCACAACACTCGCCAAAAAACCAGTGGATGATTACAACATGTAGTCGTTTCGAAATTCACTATTCCAAACCGAAGAGCAATTGGCAATGGTTATCTTAAGCAAATACCAGCGGAACTAAATATTTAGCGCCCTCAGTTTGATGACAGTCCGTTCCAAAGCCATCTGATTTCATATCACAAAGTGAATAACGCGACACAGGCACAACTTATTTGCAGACTAAAATTCATGTTTCGCCCTGAGGTTATAGGTGGAAGGAGGAGAGTAGGGTGAAGGTGTTTATGGATGTTTGGCTATTCTGGTTTAAAGAGAGGCCAGTAATGAACTGGAGATTGATAAGGAACTGCCAAAGTGACTGACTACGCGTTCCTTCTGCGTGAACTTGTTTATCCACCCATTGGTCGGGTGTATTTCGCCTGTATGCAAGGCACGCTTCAGTGCTCCAGGCTTCTAACTTAACTCCCTCGTCCTGGTCCTGGCCCTGCCTATTTCCACTTTTTGTGTATGCACAGGTCAAAAAGACAGAATTCACGATTGCGTGACACAATAACGCTGTCGTAAATAGAGCTCATTGGTATGATTAGAAAAGTAAGATTATGTGGCTTAACCAAGGAGACGCGAATTTGCTTCCAAAGTCATAATAGCTCAACCGGCACTCGTATTTCACAAAAGAGCTCTGGCCGTAGTTTATGCTAAAATAGTGGAATAGCCGCCAGTGTACGAGATTTACTGCGGATGGATTAAATTTGTCAAGTGCTAGAACTGAACTTCAACGCCTTGCAATAGTACTGCTGCATTTCATTGTTAAAGCAAACAACTAGTAGCCTCGACATCATTTCCATTTGCTTACTCAGCACCCGTTTGCCGTTTGGTCCATAATGTTTGTCCTCATTTGGTTTAGTACTTTTTTCAATGGAGGGCTTAGAAAGTTAAGCAAATTTATTAGACTTTTTTGTAATAACTCCAATGAGCGATTTCGCTTTACCCCACACTTGTCCTTCCATTGACCGCCTTTCTAATTAGAGAGAAGTGCTCCATGGTAATGAACATAGTAACGAATGTGAGTACATTGGTGATGATGAAAATGAGAAACTTGGAGCAGAACTAAAACAAAAGTCAAGTCATTTGAGTTGGTTATCGGAGGAATCAGTTAGTTAACGCAAGTACTTCTAATGTGGTAGTGTGGCAAAAATAACGCTGAAATGCATTACTTATGTAAAGAAGCGGAGAACATAAAAGCGACATTACTTTTGTAATGTGTTTTAGTTTGGATAATTGTTGTAGCTTAGTGGCTCTGTTGACGTGAACAATTGATTCGATTTAACTTGAATCCTTTTGTAACTAACAGTATTACAAATCATACTGCAGAAAGTGAGCAATAAAGATGGGATTAAACAGGACTGATTGAACGAAAGCGCACTACCTCATCTGAAGATTCGGCATTGGGAATCCTGAGATTTGGGGAAGTGGGATAGAAGGGTGCTATCGAGTGAGGTACCAGTCTACTGGCACGACTCGCCGTCTCCAATCCTCCAAACTCGTTCTCTTCGCCAAGCTCCTCACCAGGACGCTGGAAGACGGGAGGAAGGGGACCAAACTGGTCTACGTAACTACGCAGGGGGTTCACATTCAGCTCTTCATCATATTGTCTCAAGGGTATTTTAACAGGCACGGGGAAGGATCCTTCGTAGGGCTGCCTGTGAAGTATTAGAGGAGCCCACAACCGGAGGCCAGACTCCAGCTTCAAAGTGTCAAAATCTTCGCATTTAAGGCGTTCCAGAACAGGTGCGAACAAATAGATGAAGAGCTGCAAACTGGCGAGATCGTGGAGGTAGGCGCGCTCCCGTTGCGAGTTGACTTAATTGGAATTGAAATGTGTCAATCGTCATTTCTGGTTGAACAAATTTTTCAAAAATTTGTTAGGTTTATAAACAGTTTTGCATAATTCAACAGACATTTTACCAAAGAATGGGAATGGGAAACAAACAAACAAGGTAAATCTTAGTAGATATTTGCGGAAAAAACAGAGCATGGGATTCCTGTAATTGCGCATCTGGGAGCTACACTGAATAGGGAGGAGGAGAGGTGAGAGCAGAACCCAGTGCTTGCGTGTGTTCGCGTCTTAGAGAGCTGAGGGTAATTCGTAAGGCAGCCAAGTGGACAGGAAAAGCAAAATTTGGCTAATTAAATCCCGCTGCGCAGAACTGAACGAAGCACTGGAAAAGTAATTTTCCATCTAAAACGATTGGTTATAGCCTAAGAAATCATACGTTTAATTCAAAATCCAAAGTGTCATTCGTCACAATAAAAATAGTCAAAAGATTTAAGCACAGTTTCAAGAGTACCTTGCGACAAAAACTTATTGCCACAAATACAATTCTTCATTTTTTATGATTTTCGCAACTTTACACACTAGTTTCCATAACAAAAGCTCCCAACTTTATTGTAATTTTCTGCAGGTATTTACAGGTTGCTTCGAAACCTTTACAAAACAAAGTGCATGCGACGAATATACAAGGTCTATGCCGTTATGTGTAGCTTTAAGATGATGTAAATGATTACCTGCTCTAATCAATCTAAGCAACTAAAAGGTACCAATATATTTCTGCCGAGAATATAAACACACTCCATGCATCTTACTTTTAAAATTTGGGTCATTATCAGCACATTCCGAGGCTGCATCAAGGAGGAGCCATTGTAGTGTGTACAGGAGTTTAGTTTCGGCCTGATCGAATCGAAGAGGTGGCCGCTGGGAGCAAATGACCGGTTGCGTTTTTCCTCGTCCTTTGGTGTCCATGGGTGGTGTGGATTTCAGACGCTGGCGAATCATTGTTGCTGCACAGTGCAGCACATGCGGCAGTGCAAATCTTACAAGATGCCAACGCGGAATCGACTGTATTGACTCGCATACGCTTGGTGGCAAGCCATACAAAATATTTTGCACAAGTACGCGTTCAAAATTCTAAAATATAAGAAACAAGTTTGCAGTTCGAAATCAAACAGATGCAGGTTGTACATGCAGAGCTGCTTACAAGACTATTAAACCCAGCGATGCTAAAACACAAACTGGAAGCGTTTAATTCATAAGTGTTGTGATTTTTTGAATAAAAGATGATTTGCAGGTTTCTGAGAGGATTCAAAAGGCCATCTAAGGGCGCTTTTATTCTTTATTACTGATGGATTTGGTTGGTTAAACCGAAATATAGGTGCATGTGGTTCTAAGAAAAATACTAACATGCTTTATTAAGACTAGACTTTAAATATTAAAGCAAAACAGAAACAATGACCTACAAGATAACGTCTACAGAAGTTAAAGTAACTGCACAAAAGAGCCGAATCATTTCAAATGAGGTTGGAATGGCAGTTAGGGTCGGAAGAAATGTCGAATTAATGTCCATTCTAGTTAAAGAATAAAACTAAGTTAATTAGAATTATTAAACGGAAATAAAATTTAAAACAAAAGGTACGATATGAATTTTAAAAGAAACGGTGGTTTTAGACAGGCAAAATTTCCATCTCGTCTGCAGGTTGAGGAATGGCAAGAGCGCAACTTTATGCAACGAAATCTATTTCCGTAAAACAATATTAAGCAAAGAGTGATTGATGCAAAGAAAAGTTAAGACATCGTTACTTGAAGAAAAAATGATGTAATATAATCAATGTTTGCGTTGGGTGCTGAAAATATGATAGAAAACCGATAGCATTGTAATTGTTAAAATCGTGCTAGTGTCCAAAGATGCATTACTTACCAAACAGATATTGTCCCTTGTTTTCTTCGACTGTACAAATGAACTGCGAGCAATATTTATGTAAAGCCATCTTACCATGTATTGGAAAGCAAAAAGTTCTGGATAGGTAATGGGATGTAGTCAAATCCGTGCGTCATTATGTTAGAAACTTATACACATTTCACATTGCCACAATTCAGTGGCCTCAGTTTATGAGGTCACGAAGGAACAAACAAACAAAGTAATGTTTAATGTGCAGAAAGATTTAAAGCTGCAGTAAAACTTATTTGAATAGCAACAAATAAATTATTTCTTACGTACATTGTTTACAAGAAGGCTTTCAATGAATATTTTGTTGAATTAGTTTAGAGTGTATTTTGATGATTTTAGACCCAGTAATTATAAGTTCACTTTTAGTACTGCCTTTTGTAGAGTCACCCAGTTACCTATTTATGAAGCAAGAAGGTTAATCGACTTGAATGATTACAAAAACCATGGCAAATGGTAGACGATTAGGCATTTAGCATTGGCCGCGAATGTATTCCCTTCTAGAAAAGCAAATTTTTAAGTTTGAGCCTTTTTAGGATATTAAAAGACAATAACTACGACTGAATGCTTTTTTTAGAGTCCTGAGACTTCCTAACCGGTATACCAAGTCAGTAAATGCAGCTAGATACACGCATTCCAAAGACGACAGGGCAATCGGGTTTGAGGATGGCCCGAAGACCAGCCCACGTGTGCAAGGGCCAGATATATCCTAAATTGACCGCCAAACGTCAGGTAGTCGCATAAACAAAGCATTGCATTTGTACTTAAGCAAGCAGAGTAGAAGTGAAGCTATAGACTGAAATGGAAATCCAAGCTCGCGGTAGAAGCAATTTGGTTTACAAAGTCCCCACCATTTATAGTGATATTCGTATACGAAAAGTATTATCAACATAGCTGCCTAAGTTGAAGCAAGCCACATCGACAGCCGAAACAGATAAAGCCGAGCATAGTCACTCTTGTATTTTGAGCTGCATATGTGGTGTCCTTAGTAAACTTTCCATGTCAGACAACATAATCAATGGTGAAGGGAGGCCCCCACACACCGGATTAGCCAATCAGCAATACTGATGCGGCTCTGAGGGCCAGATTGACCTTAATGACCCTGAGCCCCCTCATAAGCTGTAACTTAACCTGAGATTTGGTCTAGCTTGAGAACGGAATTTCGAAATTAGGACTCCTCCTAACCGTCATGTTTACCCATGACTGGATGTTACAGTTCTGGTCAGAAAATAGATTTGTGAAATAGACTACGAGATTTGGTACATTCGCTTGTGAGCAGTGCTGCGTGCATTTTCGCATTGCCGACACAAGTGGCGCTGCAATGTGTGTAAGTCGGGAGCCAAGCAGATGTTGCCTCCTTAAGGAATATAAAGAGGGAATCGACGCCAAAAGCAAGCAATTCTCTCAGCCTTCCCATAGCAGTCTGCACTTCCATAGCACCATCAAAGTAGGCCACAAAGGATATAAATTGAATAGATGTCGTTCAAAAGTTGGATTCGCTATTAATTGCAACGATTGTAGCATCCTGCGACTACTATAGTTAAGAAAATACAAAGTACATTGGCGAAATGTGTATCAAGCAATGGCGATCGGGTATTTCGACACACTCCAGAGGCCACAGAGGTTGCAGTGATCAAAATACAAAGTCAAACAAACAACATCACACTTGTACACTTTCAAAAGAATTCCTTATTTTATGTTACTATGACATGGTAATCCTTTTTTTTTTTGGTGGGTGGTTAAAGCCGTTTAATCGCCAATGCCCATAGCTGCGATATGGTGTTACTATCCTCTGACGCCCCCACCTTGGAGGCGAAGATTGAAGGGATGGAGGGGTCTTTTACTTGAGATCCGTGGTGCAGATTTGCAGAGCACAAGTGTTGCTGAATCGATGTCGTTTTCTCCTTAACATTAATAATGTAATCGAACATGGAAGAAAAGGTTTCCCTACGGCAGAGTTGAGAATGTGATAGTATATTCTAAGTGCATGTATGTGCATGGCATCGGGCTTCTGCATTAATATTGGTTTAGGATGGTGCGAAATATGCCGCCTCATAGAAGTGAGCAGAAGTGTCCCTCCAACCTAATGCTGGACAGTTACGATTGCAATTAGCACTGCTTTTTAACCACCATTACACTGCGACCGATTAGGAATTCAAAAGGTGTTATTTTACGCAAAATTCCGGAAGTTTGAAATCTCCCTAATGCTTATGATTAAACGGTTAGTTTTGCCGAATATTGTTAACTTACTGATTTACTGGGATGAAATGTCATTACACCGTTTCAATGCTACTAATTGATTGAAGTCAGCAGTCAATGCCAAAGCTACTTTAACACCTTTCCACTAGTGGCACATATATATAGCTACCAAATCTCTGTAAGTTAACTCAAAGTGCGGTTAATGATATGTTGCTTTCAATTTTTCGGCAGCTGGTTCTACTACAATATGTCACAAATGGATCAGTGATGTTAATTGCTAGTGCGTCAAAGCGAACTACACTACTTAGCTTTGAGTAGTGAATATTCATGAATACGGGACGATATTTGGTCTGCAACGGAGAATCACCTTTAAAACTTTGCTACCGAATGTGTTACGATAAAAGTAGGAGCGGAGTTGAGGTTTCAGGGACATCCTTCCTCATTGGATGCCCTTTTTGTATTTAACATTATGATGGAAAGAAGATTTCATCATTCAATGATTGTATTTTAAGAGGGGTCCTTTGAAATTTGACGAGATGATCCACAAACTCGTCTTGTCTGTGATGTCACATCCTCGCCATCGTAATGAAGTGAAGCTCTATGGGGTGCAGAAATCACCTCTGGTTGGTAAGCCTTAACGCCTCTCAGAATAGTGACACTCGATCATCAAACTACGTTCGTATGTTCTACCACTCAGTCGAGTACAGTTATGTGCACAAAAGACTGGTTTAAATGCCTAATGTCGGTCTAACAGTGATTTTGTTGTTGTTCAGCTAATGCTGCTTGATTACCCGATTCACTTATCCATAACACTCCAATCACTGCAACGTCTGCAGCAGACATCTAGAGTCTGGTCAATAGAAACCGAATGTTGATGACGGGTACAACTTATGAAAACGCCATCAGGCTATGAGCAAGAGGCCGCATACACAAGAATAAATTACTTTTGCAATCTGTGACCGACAAGACGTGTGGTCCTCGAGCTGATGGTCTCAGAAAGGTATACTTCTCATGAACTATTTTGATTGCCCTGTTGGATTACTAACAATTTATTTACTAGACACAAAACTACCAAAATGAACTTTTGAGGAAAAACGTAGGCAGGTGTTAGTGCCACTCAGACACTCGACAACACCAGTAATTTGCACATACCTTAGAAAACGCTAGGACTATCATCTACAGCTTTATTCGTAAAACTAAGCAGACACTCAAAAGTCGAGGAAATTACAAATTTTTAATAAGCAAGGGAACTTAACAACTATCATGCTCGTCAGAATATCTTAGTTCGATATGCCCTTGGCGTCAGCACGCTGGAAGTTAGTGAGCATCCACGAGAACTGTTAAAGTATCAATTTGACGATTGACAGTATTGGCTTGTGGTTTTACAAAAACGAGAATCCCTTTGAAGAAACAACTGACTCAAAAAGGAAGCATTTCCAGAACCCAGTTTTTCCTTTCCACATAACCAACAAATTGCTCATGCATAACTACATAAACATTAGTAACTCATCTTACGCCGAAGCCGTCCAGCCATGAGATAATCATCAACAGTCCGAGCAGTACCGTACAGTATGCTTGTGCATAAACTATCCGAGAAAGTCAAATGCGGCCGTCGCCGGATTTAAGCCAACTCATGGTGTATCGTCTCCAGAACCAACTAGCCGCCGCGAGCCAACACAAAGTAACATGAACTCGCGGCATCAATATCGAGCGAGCTAACCATCGACCCAATGATTGAAGAGTCCCGACCGGATAATCAAGGACCAATCATCGCTTTGACGTTGCTCACGTACCCCAAACAGCCGAATGACGCTATGAGAAAAATCCAAGACCAACTACTCCATAAAGAACAGCCCATAAAGACCGCTGTCAATGCCTTAATGAGAAAAGAGGAAGAAACACACCAACACCTCGGAAGTGTCAAGAATACTACCCAACGAGTATAAATCGCCCTCAGCAGCAGGCAAGATCACAAGTCACCAAAGCGAAAGGGAAAATATCACGACCCCCACCATCTCTTCAAAAAAGAAAGGAATCCTTTAGTAAAAATTTATCCAGCTTAAACATTAATAGAGACCAACTTTATGCGTGTTGAGACTTAGGTTCCGAATGCACGTTCTCAGTTGGTGGAACGTCTGTACGAGGACGTCGAAAGAGAATAACATGAGGTTCCGGTTCGTGAATCATATAGTGAACCCAACCAACGGACTGCTGGATCCCAAGCGCGCGCCACTCTCGCTCGGTCATTAACCGATGTTTTGGAACTCTGCTAACCAACTCCTTCGGCAAGTGAACATGCCTATTAATGAAACAATCCAAAGTTATGAAATAAAATTGCTCAGGTGTACAGTGAGCCATGAGGATTAAAATAATACAAAAGTTGAAATACCCTACTGAGCGCAAAATGGTTGGGGTATGAATCAACAAATGAACCTGAAAAAGGAAACGGCAACACACCTGTACTCATAAACATCATCATAGTACTTATCCGAGTAGTAAATACCCCTCTCACCCATCTCACCGCAAACACCGCAAAGAGCAACTGATAGCCGAATTCACTATGCCCGCAACTTCCGCCTTACCGGTGTTCAAATCACTAAAACAAATCGTCAAAATACAATACATACTTTTAAACTAAGAGAAATAAGAACATGTAAGGTCTATCCAGAAAATTTAAAACATTTTTACTAAGTGAACTAATACCGTATTTTTCAGAAAATCTGTACGTCTTACTTATCAGTACAACCCAACAGTTCTTTTAAGATGTATTGGCTGTCAGAATGCGTAAAGTCAAGAAACTTCCCATTTTGTAGAAAAAAAGAGGAGAGATGGGATTCGGACTTAGTTGGCATAAACCTTTGTTTATGTGACTACCTGACGTTCGGTGGTCACTTGAGGGTTTTTCTAGCCCTTTACTCGTGGGTTGGCCTTTGGGCCATGCTCAGGCACATTTGCTCTGTTCTCTTCGGAGTAGCTGTATCCAACCTCAATTACTGCCTCCTTCCACTCGGTGGGAAGTCTCGGGGCCCTACACTGGCGGCAGCGGAAAGCAAACTCGATATTTCAACAACTTCTATCCTAGCATATACCGTTTTTTGCATGTACCTACGGTGTGGAGGGGCGCATTTACCTTGGTGACGGAGAATCGTTGGATCCCTCGCAACGGAAGGGTTGAGACTGACATATGCATTCGGTTTCGCCTTTTTCCCGTGTTTCACAGACAAGCTATTAACAAGTGAAGCGACACTGCCGTGAACTATCTGAAAATGTTTCGTGTCGGAATTTCCCACACAAAATCCGTGTTTAGGTGTCGGAAATGACAACACGGTTCTCTTTACCTACGAGACAGTGGCTTGTCCTGTCTTCCCTGTAAAATGTATGTTTTAGGCCAGAGTTCCACTGTCTATTTCCGGAAGCAATTGATGGTCAACAGATGTATGCAGCCCCGAATCTGGTTGTCCGATCGAACGTGACTCGAAATCCAGTTGAAGCTGCCGAGGACATTGGGTACGATTCCTCGGTCTCGTGTTGTCTGTCGACTGGCGCGGTTGGCTTGTGGGTGCTTGCTTGCAGTACTGAATATGTTGTTGTGTCTGGCGTGGGAGGAGTACCAAAGGGGAGCGCCGAGGACGTTGCTCAGAAGACAAGGGGACAGTGTAATGCTTTGTTTATGTGACTATCTGACGTTTGGCGGTCGCTTTAGAATTTTTCTGGCCTCTGTACACGTGGGCTGGCCTTCGGACCAACGTAAATAAGAGCGGAGCAAATGCAAAATGGCCTCCGGTTGTTCAAAAAATCACATGCACAATTTATTACAAAGCACATTTTTTAAAAGAAGGTTGCAGACTTGAACAGTCCTCAAGTCGTGGTAGTGCAAGGGAAGATTTGCTTTCAACGCACAAATTAGTCAACAAGTTTCGGACGAAGCCAATAACATTCCACACAATACTCTATTAAGATGCAGTTCAATTACCTTGTAATTGACCAATCACCATGGTCTTGGCAAAATGATGCACCTGTCTTATAGTCATTTTCGCGATGTTGCAGCATTCCAAATCCCATATGCTGTCATAAGTCGCCATAATACGTACTACTAACACGTAAAGGAGACTGGAATCTACAGGCACATGTCATTACTGGGATGAGAGTAAACTGTTGATTGTGCCTCTCATTTGGAATGTATCGTCTTGCTTGTTCTGATGATGTTTTATTGGAAACATCTGCCCATGTTCTCTTTCGCTTTTGTCTGTGATTTGGAGAAGGCTTAAAATGCTACGTACATGATTATGTTCTGTACTTTTGCCTTGGCTGTACTCTAGACCCCTTTTTCAAAAGTTTTCATGCGACGGTCTGCTTTAAGAGGTTTCATTAGGCATTCTGGACTGTTGCAATTTTGGATGGGGAACATGAAGAGAGTAAAAGAGCCACTACTATCGTACCAGAAGGATGCCCACACTCTTCAAGCGCAGAGTTATAATGGAGTTTCCATCATTAATTTGCAGGAATATTTTAAACCCGATATGTGTGACAAGTTTCTCTATAATTTCACAGCTGATTTCGGGTCAGACATTAATTGCAATGGAACTCTTTGGACAGGTTTAAATCAGTACTCTTTGGCTCAAAAAAACACAATCGAAGTTTAGCAGTCTCACAATTCCCCTAATACTTACTGTATGGTCGGTACCCTTGTCTTGACTGGTCTGTAGGAATTTTGCTTCTTCGTTACTACATGCTGCCAAAATATTCAAAGAAATAGGGGTAATTTGGTAAGATAGCTTTGCGCTGAGGATGCTATGTCGTCTTTAACTAGTCACGAAAAATGATGTGTTGCTTTACTTGGAATAATTTTAATGACAATCTTGCTGCAACATTGAAGGTTTCCGTCTGCATATACAAGTATATGTTCGTATATGTATATAATGAAACAGTAGTAAACCAGTCGCGAGTGACAAACAATATCAATGATAGTAAATAAATGGAGGCGAATGGAATGGTCGCTTGTCTTGATTCCGTTAAAGTTCATCCCATAATGAATCGATTATCTGTGGTGAAATGCGTCGGTTGGGTTTGACCTCGACCCGCTCCCGTTGACATTGAGTCAAACTTCACTGAATTGTAAACAGTATGGGGTTGGTAGTTTCCTTGCATTCTCTGCTGCTGATGCGTCGGAGGGATGTGCCAGCTATTGTTGTTAGTGGTAGCGGCAGTAGCAGCATTGAGTTGTGGCTGACATTGATGGCGGTGGCACATAGAATAGCCAGAAGTAATTTGCATGTGGCTCGGACTATTAGGTCCAACAAAGTCGTTGCTGATTCCGTTGTACATCAGTGTATCGAGAGGGTTTCCATTCCTGCTCTTCGGCAAGACTTCTTGTGTGTCTCGATCATCTGCTTTAGGAATGTTGGAGCGCGGGTAATGGTGATGCTGGACCACCATGTGCATCAAATCTTCACCACCGCTGCCCCGAATCGGATTAGCGCTTGAACCGTGGCTGACACTCTGAATGTGTTGAATCGGCATTGACGTCTGTGGTTGTGACCGCTGCGGCGCTGGAGTTGACACCGACTGTAGACCTCTCGTGTCAACACAAGCTTTTTCTAGTTGGCGGTTTAGCTGTTCTTCCAAATCGTCGTTCTCCTCCGGTACGAAGGCGTCTTTGGGCTGATTAGCTGAGATTGCAGCACGCAGAAGTGTTAGATCACTTGGCTCCATGCCATCTGGAAAGCTAAATACACTTTTGACCCCTCCCGGTCCGATCTCCTCAGAGACGAGGTACTTCTTGATAGCTTCTCGTTGGCTGCTTTGGTCTTGATGAATTGGCTTGTCGGGAAGGACCCCACAACCAGATCCTTGACCGCAGCCACATATTCTTGAAAAGGAATTATGCAATTCACGTCTAGCAAGAGCACAACTCTCTTGACTCAGCGAAGGTGGGCGATTGATAGGGGTCTGGAGGGGCGGAAGATGAGGAGCGTTGGATGTCTTTATTTGACAGTTGTGTCCTGCTCCCTCAACACTGATACCACCCTCATTTGGTCGACTAGACGTGACTGTGCCAATGACTGAATGTTGCTGTCGAACATCAAGGCGTCGAAGGTGATTTCTTGGGGTGGGTGCGACAGTCTGACTTAACGATTTATGCTGCTCGAATTTTTGACGCGCTGCCTGGAAGTCACGATAGTCATAGGTTGTTCTTTCATCTACGTCTGATTCCGACGTGCACGGAGATTGGAAGTTCTTGATCAGAGGTTGTTGAGCATAGTAGCTGCCATGATGCATGACTTGGTGAACTGAAGAGGTCATTTGATGCGAGTTATCGTGAAAATTGTGTGCGTAGTAGGTGTGTGGATTACGGTTTGCGCGAGAATACATCATAATTCGCCGATCTAGTTCCTCCTCCCCTCTACGTTTGCTGTTTGAACTGGATGTGTTGAAAGGATTTGGGCGAACAGCCGAATTAATAGATGAGATCCGTTGTCTGGATTGTGGAATCGGATGCTGCACAGAAGGTGGGTGTAAAGACTCGTAATTGGTCTGTTCCACAATGTAGCTACTTGACTGATCCTTCACGATGTTTGTTAAGCTAGGAAAATAGGTTTCAGCACGGATAACGATTTCTTCGAAGGGATCTTCCGTCGTTTCAATATAGCTTAACTGTGACCGCAAATTCTCATACCGTTTCCTACCGACTGCTCCGACAGGATTAACTTGTGCTGCCTCGGTTGACTCAACCTCAACTTCGGAGATTTCGGGGGTGAGATTTCGCTGGATGTTGGTGGACTCTTGAGACGTTGATTGTGCACAACAAGAAGTATTATTGGGTGGAGGACCACAAACTCGATAAATCATTCGGATCCTGCAGCATGAGACTTCTCTGCTGTCCAAATGGCCTCATCAGTGTTTGAGTTACGGAAGTAGAGAGAAACTAGTATGTGATTCGCCAATCTGATGCAGCTACTCGACTCTGAGTGGCTCATGAAAATGGTACTAGAAGATTGTCCGTGCGTGTGTGTGGTGGAAGCGTCGACAACTACGATGATGACCTCTTAACAACGCAATATTTGCCATTTGCGCAATGTGAACTTGCGCGACTTTACCTTTAACTATAGTTACACATCTGAACGGAAGGCTATGAAAAAAACCACCCT